AGACAGGTGGTGGTACGGCGGGGGTCGGGGCAAGCGGCGACGTTGAGTCTTCCTCTGCCACCGCGCATCACCCAGGGATTACCGTTCTGTGACAAAGGCGTAGGGGAGGTAGAGGACTGAACGCGCGTTGTCGTGACGGGGATTTTTGTTTTGTTTTTCCTCCCCCGTGCCACTGGTAGCTCGTTGCGTAGGCTGCGGAGCTTTCGAGCTACCGCTCTACTGCTGTTTGCCTTGACACGAAGGTTTTTGTATGGTATCGTAACGTTGCTTGCGTTGATGTGTGTGGCGGTGTGTTCGAGCAACGAGTGAAGGTTTTTAAATACCTCCGAAGGAGATCGCTTCGTAGCAGCTTCGATCGGTGTTAATAGGTACTCTCGGCGTTGTTGTGATGCCCTCCCTCCTTCTCACATCAGAGGTGTCCCCCTGCAGTATCCGAAAGTGAGTTGGCGCATCCTAAGCAAGCTCTTATCCCTTTGCAGGGCTTGCAACCTGCGGCAGCAACAATTATTTTCTAGCAGTTTTCACGAATGAATGCCTTCGAAGACAATTTATTGTTTCGTTTGGTCTGTATTTTGTCGTTTGCGCGGCATGCAGGGGTTGTCGCGGCTATGTACTCTCTGCACTACCGCATCTGCCTTTCGTATGCCCTTGTTTTAGAGTTCCACGGGCATTGCATTATCTCGTTTTGGATGGCTAGTTCGGGATATATAGTTTGCGGGTGTTACTGTTTGCAAGTAGTGTATATCCCCGTGCTGCAAACGCACTCGACAAATTCATTTAATTGAAAACGTTCTCCATCCTCGGTTCAGAAGAACAGTAGAAACGGCTAATATATCACGTTTTCGTTGTATCTCCGGTGGCAGGAGAAGGAAGGCCACCAACAAAACTGGGTTGCCGTTGTGGTCCACGTATATTCGGCCGCGTAGCGTAGAGAAGGCCGGGTCGCCCGAAATGTATACGGATGCTGAAATCGCGTCTCACAGATGGGTTACTCGAGTCGCCTCATGGTCTGAAGGGTGCGGGGTGCCGGGTGTACGGCCGGCAAATCCCTTGGCACTTTGCGGAACTCACACAAGACGTCACTGCCGCATCTCTCCCGATCATCTTTTGTTTGTTTCGGGCTGCTCACATGCCCTCCTCTGCTCTTCCGTTGTCATTTTTAGACCCTACAACCCAACCGAAAGAGCTAAGGGCGTCATCGTCATTCTTAACAACTGTTCACCGCCAACAAAACACGACAAAAACCGGCCGAAACCTTCGAGGTGCGGGTTGTGTCATGGTCGATGGCAGGGAGGTATCAGCGTCGTTGGTAGGGTCAGCGTCGTTGGTAGTGAGGAGAAGACACAGCGACATACTTGCTCGAAAGTGACGTACGTGTTGTCAATCAAGTGCCCCCGCCTAAGGCAAGCGAGGTGACTAGGCTACGTACATACATCCCGTTGGTCCTCGTGTCTTAATCCAATACAACTAAATTGTAGAAGTAGAAAAAACGAGCATGCATTCAGCCAAACAAACGCACACACGAAAGATACTCCGTATGTTACCGTTTGTGTACACGTCCTCCCCCACTCACTCGCTCCCTGCTATTCTTCGCCGCGTCTTGTTGTTCTCAAGCATCACATTGGTGTGCATTTCCGAGAGTCGCCGACTCGAGTGCACTGTTTACCACTACTGCTGTCAACGACAAACAAGTGTTAGTTGAAGATCAAAACCACTCTTACTTTTTGCTCACTGAAAGTTGTCTTTTGAAGATCGAAAACCACTTGCTTGCTGAAAGTGCTTGTTGAAGATCAAAACCTTTTTGCTTATTGGAAGTGCTTTTGAAGATCAAACCATTTTTTTTGCTTTTTGAAAGTCGCTTTGAAGAACACGTATCAACGTAGTTGCGGGTTGAGGACTAGACTGCCTCGTACCCAAACTTTGGAAGCGACGGGGTGCAGAAAACGTCCAGCAACAACAGTTTCAGATGTACACGATACATGGAGCAAAACAGAAACTACCCCCACTTTTTGCCCCCGGCCCTCCTGAACAACATCCAAAGATGACAACAAATTGCCCTCCAATATTCCACTCCAACCGCGCTCACATGCGAAAAAAAAGGCAAGCGTTGATAATAAAGTGTCAAACGAAAGGCATATAACCACGACAAACAAACGAAAATAATAGTAAACTTTACACTGATTTTGCGACATCGTGATAACACCGTGTGCATAGCGTGAATCGTAAAAAAAATAAACCCAAAAACGCAGGACGGTGCTTATGATATCTCGCTGTGAGGCTTACGCCCTTACTTTCAGTTGGCCAGCCGGTTTGCGTGGTTCATGACAGTCAAAGCAGAACGCACGCACCCAACACACACGTAACCCCGATTGTCAGCCCCCGATTCGACTGCACCCGCCCGCCCCGAAAGCTACACCGAAAGCAGTCACACAGGAATCTCGCTTCGCACCCCTTTTTTACTGGCAAGCCATCCAAAAAGAAGAAAAACCAGCGTGCGTGCGGAGAGTACAAAGGATGAGCTCAAGGAACTCACCACGCAAGGTAGCGGCACAGCAGCATCGCCATTTTCCACAAAAGTTGCAAAGACACCTCCGTCCCTCCCTCTACACTCTCGCCCGCCTGTCTTCATCGCGGACCCCTAGACAAGACACTTGAGTATCTCAAAAGGTTTTACGGGTAGACAGCTCTGCCACAACTGCCCCCCTCCCGTAGCGACTACAGCAAGAGCAGCGACAACATCAATCTCATGAGCAACGGACGGGGGCCACACGTGGTCGCCACCGCCATCACTTCAAAGCATATAGCCTGCAAGCTTCTTCCTTCGTACTCGAGCGCGCAAGGCTTGTTGTGCAGCAGCACTCGCTTTGTCTCTCTGCCTACTAGCCCTGCCGGCTCCCTTCCCTCTGCGTACCTCTCTCTCTTGAAATATCTCTGTCGCTGTGCACGTCTCCCTCTCTCGGGTTGCTGCGCCCCTTGTCTCTCAACTCCCGTCTCCTTCAGCATCTCACTCCACGATCGGAATCAGTTCTTAGCTTCACCGACGCTCTACTTCTATGCCCCCGCTCTCCCGGGCTGTGCCCCCCCCCCTCCAACATATTGCTTCCTTCTTTTCCTCCCTCATTTTGGTCTTGTCTGCATCTGCCGGTTGTACCATCCTCCTGGTTCTCGTCTCTCTCGATTTATCATCGGAGAACGTTTCCAAAGTAGTGCACAACGTTTCCATTCATTCGTTCGCGCTTGTCCCCCACCACACGGCCCTTCCTTTACATTTCCCCGGGCCACCCCCCGCCCCAAGCAGCGAAGCCCCCAGCACGCGTCTACTGCAGATACCAACGAGCACGTGATGTACTCATACAACAAAAATATGAAAAAGCGATTGATCATATAACCAATCCAATCTGAGATAGATGCGTCCAGAAGACTATACTACACACGTACTGGTAGGTGCTCTCTACGTACGTACGCGACGTGCATCCGGCGGCCCCATCTGTACAAATCAAAACACGCACCAAAAAAGCAAAAAGAGTGTACTCCTCGAACCACGCACTCTCCATCCCGTCCCCATAGGATCATCACGCAAGTCACGGTCAAAAAATGCAATTAATTTAAAGAAGGAAAAAAGATGACACAGGAGAAGCGAAAATCACGGAGGAAATCTGCCGTGGGGAGTGGGTGGGGTATGGGATGCCCCCCTGGGATGCCCCCCCCCCTCTCTTCGCCGTACTCATTCGTTCAACACAATTCAACACAACGAACACCTTCGCCTTTCTTCCCGAGAACAACAAAAAAATAAAGAAGCAGAGTACCTGGCTCAGGAGAGCAATAAAACTGACAGATTACTGTCCCCCAGTTTACGGCGTAGCACAGAAAACTCGGTTCGAATGAACGACGCATTGCATCTAACACCATGGTTGCAAGCAGTACGAGCGTGGGGGGGGGGGTTGCTCCAATGACGCACTTTCATGATCGATTGGAAATCGTGGTGAACAACGCATAAACGGTGCCTCCCCCCCCCCCCCCCCCCCCCCCCCCCCCCNCCCCCCCCGTCTACCCTCCTCCCTTCCGATCCTTGCCCATGCCAATCGCGAACAAAACATCACGCTCTGCAAAATCCAAGCCAATGGCAACACCATCACAAGACAATGCCAAGCCTGCACACCAAATACATAGCGCAGTAAATATATCGGTTTACGTACGTTCACGACCAATCTACGGTTCACGTACCTCACACTTAAATCTACAATTCACTCAATTTTCATCCCCATCCCCTTCCCCACACTCTAGTACACCATTCAGAAAAGAAAAGAAAAGACTACAGCACGTCAACGCAGCGCAAGAAAGAGAGATGACAAGAAACAAAGCCAGCACCGGTACCCTCCTCTCACTACACCGTCTTAGATTTCCGTGCTAGAACATGTCTTCTCGCCCCCTCTAGTCCCATACCTCTTCATTCCTAATCGCCGCCACCACATCCACCGACCTCCTTTCCCCTTCCACATGCATTCGTCGCCCCGCCCTCGCCCCGCCGCACCATACCGAAGGCTGTGTTACGGTCTGACGACTGTGGCGGTCATCCGCGACCGCACCTCCGCGTACACCCGCCTCGCTGCTGCTGCTGCTGCGCCGCTCTGCGTCGGCGTCGGCGGCTGCGGCCAGCTTGTGCGCGAGCCCACAACGACCGCTGCAGCGTGGGACGGTGAAAATCGCGCAAACGAGTGCGCCGGCCATGCACAACTTGCACCCTCCCGCTCCCCCCCCCCCCCCCCCCCCCCCCCCCCCNCCGCGTCCCCCCCCCCCCCCCCCCCCCCCCCCGGCCCCGCAACGTCTAGGGACTCTCGAGAGGACTACGCATGATACCTGCACACACCCGGGTGTCCCGACACACTTCTGCTGTCTTCACGAGGCGGCAGCATCGGAAGTAGCAAGACAGCAGAGACGGCACTACCACTTCTATCCAAGCTTGTCGCCCGTACGAATGAGTGAGAACGCGAAGGAACAGGACGCCTTGTCAGGCCGATAAAAATTCTCAAACCGTCTCTCGGAAATTGACACGGCGACGCTCCCTGCTGCGCCCTTCCCGCAGCTCGCTTGTGTCCAGCCTACAGCCGCAGCACCAAGAGGATGCGCTGTCCGACTGACATGTCAAGAGAAGCTTCTACGATGGTGCCGCCAACCGACGTTGCGTCACCGCAGCGAGGCGGCGCAAGCGACCTGCACTCGGTACCAACCTGCCGCCTGGCCTTCAAAGCACCCGAAGTAGGCCAGAAAGGGAAACGGACCCTTTTTGTCTTAGGGATACCATGCAAAGGGGCCCACGGCCAACAGTAAGTGAGTACCCTCCCAAAGGGGCCCATGGTCAACAGCAAGAGAGTACCCTCCCAAAGGGACCCGTGGCCAACAGTAAGTGGGTACCCTCCCCCTTCGCCCACCACCGCCACGCCGCCACAACTTCCACCCACCGCCACGGCGCCACAACTTCCACCCACCGCCACGGCCGGCGCAAGCCCATTTCGAAAGGATTCTGGGGTCTAACGCCCTCGTCGGCAACAACCACCTCAGAGCACTTTTCCGCCACCAAGAAAAACAACAACGACTACTGCCACACAGCCCCTTTCCCTTCGACCGCCGACGGGACCCCTTTTTCGGACTCCCCCCCACTTCCCACGTCTTTACCGCTTGTCGCCGCGCGGAGGGATGTCAAAGAACGCCGCCGCCCACGCCGGCGAGAACACCGCGAGCTCCTCCCTTCCCCGGGTCAGCGCCAGCGTCCCTTCCTTGGTCACCTTGACCTGACACTTCTTGCAGCTGCCGCCGCTCCCGCCGCCGCTCTTGTTCTTGCCGTTGTCGCCGGGCTTTCCGGGGGACCGCTGTTGCTGTTGCGTCAGGGAAGGTAGCGGCCCGCTCTGCCAGAGGGTGGCGCCCGCGTCGCCGGCTGCTGCTGCTGCTGCTGCGGCCAGCAGCGGCTTGGGGCCCCTCGCCACCACGACGTTCCCGTCTCCTGCGGCGTTGTTGTTCGACCAACAGATGTAACGGTTTGGTGCATACGGCAAGTTGAGGGCAGAGCAGGGTAGCATTCGCGATCTGAATGGGGGGGGGGGAGTCAACGTGATCCCTTGGGGGGGAAATGCAGCTGTTCGGGGTATAAGACATGTGGTCTCTATGCACACGGCATGGTAGCTTTTTCTGACCGTGGAAAAATCAACCAACCAAATACACAGCGTGTATTTGTTCGAGTTTTCCCTCTCAACCAATCGTTCAAATCCTAGCCTCGCGGGAAGAGTAAGTCGCTCAGGTCCAAGCGGAGACAAAGCAGTCCAGAGGAACATACGGGCTGAACATAGGTGTGTGTGTGTGCGTCTTTAGGAGTTATGCTATCTAGGCGCGGGACGAGTGGCTCGTGCTGCGCCTCGAAAAGGACATCAAGCGTGTCTCTCATCGTGACGACAGACAAGACTTTCGGCCAAAANCCCCCCCCCCCCCCCTCCCGCTTTCGCGGCCTCCCGAAAACAAACAACTATCAAACCACTCGGGTGGAAAGGTGGTGCATGCGTGCCGGAGCAGTTCCACTTCCCCATAAGGAAGAAATAAATTATCCTCCGCGGCACCTCCTTCGGGGCACTCTACTGTCAGGGGGACACATAGAGAGAGAGAGGGGGGGG